ACCAAATCTATTATAAACATGGTAACTTGATGTTAAGAATTTAAGTGACAAATCGTAAGAGACAAATGTCATTCTTTTTTTTTTTGTCTCAGTTTGATCTTGGAAATAAAAATGAAGCCTAGGTATCGACAATAGAGGTATATGTAATGAGATAAAAAGTTTTCACGGCGAAGAAGATCGAATAATCCATATGACCAATACTTATCAATTTTCCAAACTTATGAGACTCAGAATGACAATATGCACTCCAATAAAAACACATAATAAATTATAATAAAAAGAGTATTTTAGATCTATATTTCTTCAGTCATTTCTTCAATGTTTCATAGTCAAGTACATCATTGTTGTTCATTATCCTTCTCTCGCTTTCTATTTCTAGCGCATATCATTTGAAACTCTTATCTTGTTTCTATCATTAATCCTTTTTGTCATCTATAAATGCATCCAATATCTTTCCACTTGAAGCCATTTACGATTTTCCTAACATACATTTGGCATCCATAAAGCCATTGTCTTTACATTTCAATATGTCCAAACCTTTTTTTTTTAAATAACCGACAAATTACAACGCCACAGCATCTATATATTCATTATTACTTTTGCTTGAATACCAAAATTGGTATAACATGATATTTCTTTACGCCAGTCTAATATGGTTTCGTCATAGCTTGACATCTAGACGGACGAAATGTTTTGATTTCCTATCAGAATTGATAAAAATAATTGTTTAAGGTATTTCATCTAAAAAATTGATTTGACTAAATGTTTTGATTTCCAATCAAAATTGACAAAAATAATTGTTTTAAGGTTTTTCATCTAAAAATCGATTTGAGGAACTGATAAAACGACAATTTGTCATAAGAATAATTTGTCTTATATCAATTTCTATGGTCTTAAATGAATTTAAGTTTTCATGGTTTGATCGATTAAATGAAACATAGTTGTTTAAATCACTTTTGTCAATAACAAATGTCATATCATCCCGTTAACAGATCAAATACAATGTTTTGATCATTTGATGGAACTTATATATAATAACTACTTTTTAAAGCGTTTATTTTTTATTTATTTTAAGAGGTTTTCTGTTGTCGAGAATATTTGAAAAAATTAAATATAAAATGAACACTTAAACGTAAACAGATCTTTTTAGTCATTTTCCCCTTTAATCCCCTTGAACGTGAGAGAGAGATCGGCTTTGTTATAAAGGCTGTAGGCTATACAACGAAATCACCCTTTTAGATCCGTGGGATATTTATTAATGTTTTATTATATTGGTCGTGTAAGGAGGATATCTCCTTACTTGGCAAATGGCAATGTGTTGCAAATGATTGAAGTTCGTTGGTTCGTTGAAAATCATAAGTAAGAAAGCATTAAGACAAAATTATAAATGGCCTAAACCACTTACACAAATCGCAAGTGGAAATAAAAAAAAAAGCGTTGAATATTTGGATCTTATAGTGAATTCAACTGAGTTCCCCGCATGTCCGAAACAGAAAGAAAGATAAAACAAAATCAAGATTTGTAACACCCGTTCCCCGATCACTTTGATCTCTAGGTCTCGCGCCCTAATTTGCAACACAAAAAATACAACTGCACGCACTAAAAAGGAGAAAAAGAGGGATGAATAATTTCAAGAAGAATTACTCAGTGAGGAATGGTCATGTCTGCCCACATGACTTCCAACACTACTAACCAACCTGCATGCGCAAATACTAACTCTAGAACAAGCAGCAAACAACAAACAATCATTTAGCACACATCCATAATATCATCAACACTCATCACATGACACAACATTTCCATGACTTTTGACACCTGACACACTTATGCTGGCCATCACCTAGAAAGGTCGTACGCCACCTTGGGCTCGTCAGCCGGTTTATGGGCTTTAGCGGGATCGCCATGTCTTCGCCCTCAGTCCGACACGCACACAACCACCAACATTATCCACTCAAACCAACATTTCATAACCACGACATCATCACATAATATTATCAACAATTTCACACTCAACAATCATTATTCATCACTCAATCTCCTAAACTTAGCATAACGAATACAAATAAATTATTAATATTAAAAATCCACAGATCCCATCCTCACCTTAGAAATTATGTCCAAAAACTAAGTTTGGAAGAAAAACGGTTGAAACGCTACTCCTGGCGGTCTGAAATTTCAAAAATAGTGATTCTAATATACGTCTGCGTTTTAGAGCAAATTAGGGTTTATGGGTTTTGACAGACTAAGCATTACTTGACCAGAAAGCAACACCAATAACTCACTGGTTTTATACCAGATCTGGAAACAGAGACTTGATCTGGAATCCTTGAAACAACACCTTTCCAGCGACACCATAATCGGGATAGAAACTCTCTGAGTCGACGGGAAATATCCTCCAAAACCGCTCTTCGAAACTGGAAAATCAGATGATTCTGAGACAACTTTTCTTATGCAGAAACAGTAACGCAGGGACAACTTCAAATACGATTTGCGGACTCGTCTTACCTCGGAATCGGAATCTGAAAGATGCTGTGGAAACCTTGAAGCGAGATCTATCCAGACGTGTAAGGAACGTCGTCTGAATCGTTATGAATCGTTCGGAAATCGATCCGCAAAGTCACTGCTCGCAACAGTCTTCCTTTGCTCCTCCTATCCTTGGTCTTTCCGGTCACCGGAGCTCACGACTGACACACTCAACAGCGGCGGCGGCTAGGTCACGAGTGAAAAAGGGCAGAGCTTGGCTGCAAGGATGATCTCTACTCCTTCCTCTCTTTGGCGTCTCCATTATATAGAGGAAGAGTGTGGAGAGAGTTAGGGTTTTTATGAGATATATGGACCACACGAAATGGACCACAGGGTTTGGGGGTTAGGGCCATGACAAGATTACCTAAGAAGCTTCATCGATGGCAACTCATGTTCTCGCAAGTTTCTTGACTCAGGCCAATGCCTTGTTCAGAAAAAACTTAACCTATCAGGTTTGGCCAAACTATACATGTAATCTATCTATATAATTATCTTCATGATCATGATAAACCCATTGGTGTAGAAACGGAACATATGGAGCAATGTTCGGCTCATCGCGATCCCCTTGTACCTCTGTGTGGTTCTAGTAGGCATTCAAGTTCTGTTCAATACATAGGTTAATAACTCTGCGGATTTTCGATGTGGTTGTCAATGCATCGACAAAAATGGAGATGGTAATTGCGAAAGAAAGAGTTGCGGTTTAGAGTATTCATCTCCAAACCAAGCCATCTTTTGTGCCTTCCCACCACCCTCCACCATTGCCTCCATTGTTACATATTCCGCGTTCTGTTGATAATGACTCGTGCAGTCGAACAGGATCTTGTCATGTAACTATACTTGTTACTGGGAACAACCATTCCCTTGGAGCAAGTATCCCTTATAAATTTCAAAACTTCTTTTAATTTCTTGATTCTATAATGTGTTTGATTGTTTCCTCTCCAACTAATCTTCACTTTTTCCGTTAGTTTTATCTCGGAATTTACTCACTACTTCTTTCGCGGCAAACTCCTCTGACCTTTTCTTGCGTAATCTCGCATATAATGTCTTGGCAAGTTCTGCATTCTAGACGTTGTTTCCATTATAAATGAAGTATTTTCTTATCTTAAATTTTTTTCGAGCTCACAACTTCTCAAGAGTATCTATACATATTCAGGGTACAACATCGGAGGCAGGAAACACCAATCATCTTGATCCAGGGATTTACTCAGATCTTCCTATCTACAACATCCAACCTCAGTGCACTCCACCCAATACTACATTATCACTCTCATTCGGATAATCACCTCTCGAGTTTCATAAAGGTAATTCACAAAATTTTGGTTTACCACCACAATTCTAGGAAATTTCTCTCGTTTCGTAAATAATTTATTACAACATATGTCATCATGTTATTGTACATGTTATTATTTATTTTCAAAATCAAAGGAAAAATATTATTATATAATACTTGATGTGTTCAACGTGAGTATGACACATGCAGATTTATCTCTGATGGTGACACATGTCATTGTTAATTTAGATTTGTGATGCGTGTCAATATTATTTAATAAGATTTCATATTCCTACTTAGAGAAATTTG